AATATTAGTATAAATTCAAATCCATCACTTGTAACAAACGCTTCACTTGGAAAGCTATTGATAATGGAAATGGCTCCAGATCTGTGAGTATAGGGGTCATAAAAGAAATCATTGTGCTGGGCACCAGTGGCTCATGCCTGTAATCCTAACTACTCAGAAGGCTGCAATCGGAGGCTCATGATTCAAAACCAGCCTGGACAGGAAACCCAGCCAGGCAGGAAAGTCTGTGAGACTCTTATCTCCAATAAACCACCAGAAAACTGGAAATGGTGCTGTGGCTCGGTGGTAGAGCGCTCACTTTGAACTGAGGAGCTGAGGGACAGCACCCAGGCCCCTAGTTCAAGCCCCGTGACCCACAAAAAAAGAAATCTTTGTATCTTTCCCTAAAGTGTGTAGGTGTGTGTATGTGTGTGTGAGAGAGAGAGAGAGTGTGTCTACATAGGACTGATCATACTGTATAAAATTACAACTAACCAAAGTCCACTTTCAAGTAACACTATTTAACAATAATGAGTAACTTAGAATAACAAAATAAAACAAAAATGGAGGGACCAAGGGTGAACAAATGTAACAATGGTACTCAGTACACACTATATTAAAAAATGAACTATATAGTATAGCTTGTGGGTGGGGACAGAGGGAAAAACTAGGAGAGCGTGAGGGAAGAGGTGATTTTGTCCAAAAAGAAATGTACTCATTACCTGACTTATATAACTGTAATGCCACTGGACATCACCTCTATAATAACAATAAAAAAATTAAAATTGAAAAACGAATAACAAAATCTAATTTTGCCTCCCATTCCTTTGTATTGTTGCTGTCCCTCGTATTACTTATATATAAATATATATGGTATATATGCATATATTATCATAATAAATTGTTATCTTTAAAATCAATTAGAAAAATAAGAAATGTTATTTTACCTTCAAAAAATGTTTTTGTTTTTGTTTTGGGTCCAGTTTGGGGCCTGAACTCTGGGCCTGGGCGCTGTCCCTCAGCTCTTCAGCTCAAGGCTAGCACTCTACCACTTGAGCCACAGCGCCACTTCCAGCTTTTTTTCT